TTCCAGCCACCGTCAGGCTGGCTGTGCCGTGAGCCCGTCCCTCCGAGCGCTCCCCACTGCCGGGTGGGTACTGGGGGTGTTTGGTTCTCTCCCCCTCTCCTCCCTGTTGGGGTGACCCCTCCAGCTGCACGGGGGACGCGGGGGACACAGGGCTGGCGGCTGTTGGTTTGCCAAGGAGAGCGGCCAACACCCAGCTCGTCTCCTTGTCTCTGCCACCCGTGGGGCACCGGCAGTCTCGATGCCTCGTGGCTCTGCTGCCCCAAAAATAGGACTGGGGACCCTCCAAGGCTTGGAGGGACCTGTCAGGGATTGGGGTGCCCCGGAGCACCGTGGCCATGCAAGGGGCGATGGGTGGGTCGTGGTCCAGCCCCGCTGGCCCTGGTGGGATGCGGGATGTGGGCACCAGCTGCAGGCAGCAGCCGTGCAGGGAGTTACATAAACTCCCCATCTGGCAGCGGAGCCCAGCCGGGGAAGGGCGCCGTGGCCCTGTGCCCGCTGCTATTCCCAGCTCACTCTGCCGCCTGGGGCAGCTGCCACAGCCCTCTTGCTTGGGAAAGGGAGTGGATGGGGACAGCAAGTGGGGAAATGCCATGGCACACACATCTCCTGCCCTGCTGGGGGGCAGCAAAACCGATACTGGGGGTCCCTCTGTCCTGGGAGCAGGGCGCTGAGCGGGGCAGATTTCCCCCAAGGGAGGCTGGTGCTTACTGTGTCGGTTTAATGATTTCTAATGAGCAATTACCTCTAGTCAGTTCCCTAATTTCTGAATATCAATAAAGTTAATTAAACACTGCATGTGCATTTCCCAGAGTCTTAAAAGTAGGGATGCCCTGGGAGGTGCTGAGCTTTTCCCAGGCCTGGGACCCGTGGGGTCCTGTCCACCCTATATGTCCTCATCATGTACTGGGAGCTGCCTGTGTGGCTGGTGCCTCAAGCTCCACATCCTCCATCAGCTCAGGCAGCACCCGGGGTTCCATGCAGCATTGCCACCCTCAGTGTCACTGTGGCCTTGACTTGGAATCAGTGGGTTGGTGCATGATGGGGACGAGCCATGGGTCTGAGGGACGTGGGGTCAGGGAGTCTTGGACTCCTCATCCAGGCTGGGGAGCTTGGTGATGTGGTCTGAGCGGTGGCAATGCAGGCTCTCATCCTGTCTTTCTCCTGCCCCAGCTGTGGGGCACCACCAGCCCCTGTTGTCCACAGGGATTTTCCCCAGCAGAAAGTGGGGTCTGGACCCCATGGCACTGGTGCAGCCTAGGGGTACTGTGCCAGGCATAGCTCCATCAGCCCTGCTCCACTGCAGCCCCTCTCCCCAGCTCTCCAAAGCCGTGGCAGGCCAGGAATTTTTTCTGGGGGTCATCTTAGCCACACTGGAAGGAGCTCCTTGTAATTTGGGGTCCTAGCAGCCTGGGGCATCAGGAAGCAGCACAGTCTGTGGCAGGGGGCACAGGGCCTGAGCTGTGCCAAGGCATCCAGCATCAGCCAGATGCACTGGGCCCATAGGGGTGATGTATTTGGGGGACACGGTGCCCCTGGGGGTGTGGGGCTGCTGGCTGGGATCTCAGTGTGGGGAGGGGGCTGGGGAAGGAGGCAGGCGCCTGCTCCAGTAATTAACGGCGCGTGTGCTCGTGCCCTGCGTGCCTCGGAGGACTTCATCACCACCACGCTGCCGTGCCGCCAGGCCAGGATTATCTGGATAATACTCTTAAGCCAGGGAGCGGGAGGGCAGGGCTGTCCCGTGGGGATGTGGGGAGCAGGCTGAGCCAACCACCCCCACCATTTCCCAGGAGCCTGATTGCCGCAGGGATCGTCTGTGGGTTTGCGGTGGCAGGGATGAATTCAGCACAGGGTGCTGTGCCAGGCAGGGCTGCCGTGTAGAGCCAGAGCAGTGGGAATGTGGGGAAAAATGGGGTGCAAAGAAGCTCGGGCAAGGACATGACAAGGGCACCCCCAGGCCTGGTTTGAAGCAGTAGAGAAACCCCCCCTCTCCCTTCTGTGCTGCTGGTGTGACCCCCAGGCTGGCACGGTGTTCCTGGGGCTGTCACCCCCCGTGTGCAGCCCCTGCTGGGGTGGGGGCTGAGGCTGACCCTGGCTCTGGGGTCCCCTGGGAGCACCAACAGCCCCCGGGGGAAGCAGATGAAGTTGTGTCTCCAGCGGCTCTGATGGGAGAGGATAATTTCGCCTCAAATCAATTCTTTAAATGTGCACAATTGAAAGATTGCCTCTGAAAGCTGCCTATAACCAAGGAGGTAATGGATTCCCTCCATTCGCAGGCAGGAACTCGGGAGTGGCAGCATCCCTTCCTCCTGCTGCTGGGGAGATGGGGACAACCAGAGGACCAGCACTGCTCCCACCATGAGCATCCTCGGGTGGGTGAAGGGGCTGCCTGGGGATGCCTCTATCTGCCTGGTTCACTGCCAGCCTGCCGTGTGCTGAGATCTTGCACTGCTCATCACATCCTCCGAGGTGCCAGGGAGCCCCATTGGCCTGGGCCGGGCATCTGCTCGGCCCCCAGCCTGCAGGAGAAGCGGCAGGAGTCAGCCCGTACGCTCACTGTACCACTAGGAATTATTACATATATAATTTAAATGCAGTAACAAGCTGTGCTGAAGGGATCAAATATTAATCAGCTGCAAGAGCGCTACTCTGACCCTGTGAAAATGGAGAGAGGTGCTTGAAATGCCAGATCAGCCAGTGGTGGGCAATGAGCGAGGTGATGCTTGGGCAGGGCAGGCTCTGGTGGTCCCCAGATGCCCTGGGGGGTGGCAGCAAGGGGGAAGTGTCTGCAAGATCAGCCCTCAGTGGCTTCCAGAACTGGATGGTTCATCCTCTAGGAAAAGAGGTGCTGGGGCAGGATGTGGTGCTGGCTGGAAGAGATAGAGTGCTGGGGGCAGCTGAAATGCCGGCTCTGGCAGGAGCAGGCGGCGATGGGAGGGAATGGTATCTGCAGGAAGTATGACATGGCTGAGCAGCCCAACGCTGAGCCCGACAAGCGGCTCTCGCTCGCCTCCCGCAACCGATTTCAATTACTGTCTCTGGCAGTGGGCGGAGGGAAGGAGAGACGGGAACCGGGTGGGCAGCGTGGCCCTGATCACCCTGCCTGACTCCTGCCCACGCTGGGCAGACACCCCCAGCACCCAGGGGTGCCCCGATGGCTGGGTGCCCCTCTGCCACCCAGAGGGGTGGGCTGTGCTGGGTCCTGGGGGAGACCAGAGCTTGCACAGAGCCCTGTGCGACATGGAGCCCTGGCACCTACATCAGGGCCACTGTAGGGTGGCACTGAGTGGGTGCTGCCCAGCAGTGGGGTATTCATCACAGGAAGTCCTAGGGGAGGGACTGGAGGAGCTGATTTGGGTGCTGGCAGCCCAGTGAGGGGGGACGTGGCACCGCACAGTGCTTGGGTCTGAAATAGCAGCAGACATACAATTTATCACCGCTGCTGCCATGCAGGGGAATTGCTGTAGAAACCCATTAGCTCCACAGGGAGAATGGGGAAGGGGGATTACATGGGCTGTGGGTGGCGAGGAGGGGACAAAGGCACCGCTGGCATCCACCAGGTGGCAAGGGAGGAAAGCCCAAGAGATGGGCACACAGCTGCCCACTGGGCTCTGCCCTCGCGCCCACCCGCTGTTGGCGGTGCTCGGTGTGTCAGCCGGCGCTCGGCCGCTGCGATGCTCCAGGGAACCGGTTTGCGGTGATGTGACATGTGTCAGCGGGTAAATGACTGTTCAATTCAAGGAGAATTGCAAAACATACAAGGTCAAACGCTTCCCCACCAGCGCTGCCATGAATATTAAAGCCGAGCTCCTCCGATAGCTGCCAGGGCTGGCGGCCGCTCTCGCTAGCGGTGTCCCTGGGCACCAGGGCAGCCTCTTGGGTCTCTGCTTCTGCTGCTCTAACAGTCTCAGCTTGGCCACGGGCATCTGGGGTCACTGGTGGTGCCGGGGTGGAGGTGGCCATGGGGTGGCGGGACGTGCTTGCCAGCGTAAGTGCCAGCTCGCCATGCTGGGTGCCAGCGGTTTGTCTGTGGTGCCAGCTGGGTGGCAGAGGGGCTGGCTGCACAGTCCTGC